GGACGAGGAGGTGGACCCACCCATCTTGCTATTTTGTCTCAGCCTCCGGATACCATTCATGGGCAATTAAGGGTAACCGTTCAAGGTGAAGTTATTGAACAGTCTTTCGGAGAAGAGCACTTATGCTTTAGGACTCTTCAGCGTTTCACGGCTGCAACACTTGAGCATGGAATGCATCCACCGGTTTCCCCTAAGCCCGAGTGGCGCGTCCTCATGGATGAAATGGCTATAATTGCCACTGAAGAATACCGTTCTGTCGTCTTCAAGGAGCCCCGTTTTGTTGAGTACTTCCGTCTGGTAAGTTCATAACCAACTCAATTAGTACTAGTCTACTATTATTAAACAAACAGTAGTTAAAAAAAATGCCTAAATGCGAGTTTGGGTTTGTCTTATAGGCGACACCGGAGCTTGAGTATGGAAGGATGAACATAGGAAGCCGACCATCGAAACGTAAACCGAGCGGAGGAATCGAGTCGCTGCGTGCGATCCCGTGGATCTTTGCATGGACTCAGACGAGGTTTCACTTACCCGTATGGCTAGGCTTTGGAGGGGCATTCAAACGCGTGATCCAGAAGGACAGTAAGAATCTCAACATGCTCAAAGAGATGTACAACCAGTGGCCTTTCTTCCGTGTCACAATTGATCTAGTCGAAATGGTTTTTGCCAAAGGAGATCCTGGAATCGCGGCTCTGTACGACCGCCTCCTCGTCTCTGAAGAACTTCAACCATTCGGTGAACAACTTCGAGTTAACTACCAAGAGACCAGACGCCTCCTCCTCCAGGTATTACTTACTTCCACTATAACCACATCATAGATGTCCAATCCGGTTTCCATGCGGCATCAAACAAAACCACGAATGGTGGGGACAAACTGGCCAAAATGCCAACTTAATCCGTGCGTTTCGTACCTTTCCAGGTTGCAGGTCACAAAGACATTCTAGAAGGGGACCCTTACTTAAGGCAAAGGCTGCAGCTACGTGACCCATACATCACGACATTGAACGTGTGCCAAGCCTACACACTCAAGCAGATCCGTGACCCAAGCTTCCACGTCAAAGTTCGGCCACATCTATCTAAGGACTACATGGAGTCTAGTCCAGCAGCTGAGCTTGTAAAGCTCAATCCAAAGAGCGAATACGCACCGGGACTTGAAGATACCGTCATCCTCACTATGAAGGGTATTGCTGCCGGTATGCAAAACACCGGTTAAGCCAGTTTCAACCGTCTTTGTACCATTCCCTGAATCTATGCTATGTAATGTATTATGTTTATTCTAAAATGTGATAATCTATCTTACTCTACTCCGTACGCTTTTTAATGAGTATGATAATTTCTTGTTTTCTTCTATTGTTGTTACGTTTACTACTCATATCTGTGAAATATATTTCTGAAGGGAAACATGAAAAGTAATCTTTCTTTTTGCTCTAAGATGTTGAAGTTGCCAATATTAATGTATTACTCTTAGCAAAATGTTGAATTTTCTGTTCTTTTTTTTTTTTTTCTTTTCTATCTTATGGATTTTAACCTTTTTTTTTAAAAAAAGGTGAAAGCTCTACATAATCATATAGAAAACAAGTTGAATATTTGGAATCTCTAACGACAAATGCCGAATCCAAAATCCGGTTCTTTTTCATACCATATAGCAAATTTATTATCCAATTCTATAATTTTTTTACTTAAAATATTATTTTTGAAAACTTAAAACATAATTAATTGTTAAATTTTCATTACGTGAAAACATACTCAATTTTTGATTACTAAGTCGAACTTGTTTTCAAGGTTTTTAAATTTAATACTTAGTTTTGTTTTTAGTTATTAAGTTTATTTTTGTTATTAAGTTTTAAATTTTTTTACTTCAAATTTTTTTTTTGAAAACCGTTTAAAACATAACTAAGTATAAAAGTTTCATTACGTGAAAACATGTTAAACTTGTGACACCTCAAGACTTACGGACCAAAAGGACGAGATGCTAAATCGAATTTGTTTTCAACATTTTTAAATTTAACACTTAATTTTGTTTTTAGTTATTAACTTTATTTTTAGTTATTAAGTTTTTAAATTTTTTTTACTTAAATTTTATTTTTGAAAACCGTTTAAAATATAACTAAGTGTAAAAGTTTCATTACGTGAAAACATGTTAAACTTGTGACACCTCAAGACTTACGGACCAAAAGGACGAGATGCTAAATCGAATTTGTTTTCAACATTTTTAAATTTAACACTTAATTTTGTTTTTAGTTATTAACTTTATTTTTAGTTATTAAGTTTTTAATTTTTTTTTACTTAAATTTTATTTTTGAAAACCGTTTAAAACATAACTAAGTGTTACATTTTAATTACGTGAAAACATATTAAACTTATGACACCTCAAAACTTACGGACCAAAAGGACGGGATTCTAAGTCGAACTTGTTTTCAATAATTTTAAATTTAACACTTAGTTTTGTTTTTAGTTATTAAGTTTTTTTTTTTATTTTTTGTTATTAAGTTTCTAAATTTTTTTTACTTAAAATATTATTTTTGAAAACCGTTTAAAACTAACTAAGTGTTAAATTTTTATTACGTGAAAATATGTTAAACTTATGACACCTCAAGACTTACAGACCAAAAAGACGGGATGCTAAGTCGAACTTCTATTCAACGTTTTTAGATTTAACACTTAGTTTTTTTTAGTTATTAAGTTTATATTTTGTTATTAAGTTTTTAAAAGTTTTTAATGAAAATATTATTTTAAAAAACCGTTTAAAACATAGCTAAGTGTTAAAATTTGATTACGTCGAAACATGTTTAACTTGTGACACCTCAAGACTTACGGACCAAAAGGACGGGATGCTAAGTCGAACTTGTTTTCAACGTTTTAAAATTTAACACTTAGTTTGTTTTTTGTTATTAAGTTTATATTAGTTTTTAAGTTTTTAAAATTTAGTTTAAATCAGAAAATCCAAAGTGAAAATCAAAATTTTTATTAAAAAAAAAAAAAGAAATTAAGAAAGAAATACCTGGAGTTGGGCCGTCACAGCGAAGCCCATTGCCCAAACTCTGATTTTCTATCTTCTGCATCCTCTCCCTCAGCCGCGACTCCATTATTCTTCTAAAGCCATCGAAAGTCGAAACTACTAGCTTTTCATTGTCCCTCTCTTCGCTATCCTCTTCTTCGTAATCTCTTTCACCGCCGTCGTCAAAGCCCGACGGTGATAGGGTTGAGATCCACGTATGATGAATCCATTGGTAACGAATTACCCAGAACGGTGAAATTAGTGGAGACTGGAGACCCGTCTTGAAATCGTTCTCAATAATTGACTGAAGATGTTGACACAAGAGGGTATGAAGATCCATCACGAACCGCCGATCAATCTGACGGATTTGGTCTGAGATGAAGGATGAAGTTCTTGCAGAGATCATCGGCTTACTTCGGTGTCGGAATTGATCATCTTCTTCACGCTCTCGATCCTCTCTGCAAGACATTAGCAGAGCTTTGTGGAAGAAACTACAGGTATTAAAAATAAAAAGATGAAAGATGTTTTTTTTTTTGTTATCGTTTCGAAGAAGATGAATAGAGAATTATGATTTCTCAAGGAAGAAGATTTGAGTGAGTATTTATAAGCAACAAAGTTTCTTCAAAAAAAAGGAAATTTTAGATTGTTTCCTTTTTTCGACGATTTTTGGTTATTTCCTTTTTTTTTTTGGCCAATATTTCTTTTTTTCTAAGAGTTTGGTTGTTTCCTTTTTTCGGCGAATTTGATTGTTTCCTTTTTTACATATTTGAACTTGTTTTTTCAAAGTTGTACTAGAATATTCTAAGAGGTTTGTATTAAAAATTGTGTTGCAGGCAATGTTGGCTTCTCCAAAAGCATAACCAGTTTATACAGATTCTGAGAACCAGATTCATACAACAGACGCTGACATCAGATTACCATTGATCGCTAGTTCATGTTTCGAGAGAGAAGCGGCCTGGTTATGATTCAATACCCATCCATGGAGCTAATATATTACAGCTAAATTCGTAGCTTTATTACAGAATCATGAATTTGCTCTGTATGTGTTTGCTTGTGACTCTCTTTGCGTTAAGGCGTGGGAATATAGCTTTACATTTATATAACAAACAAATGGAGGCAGAAGTGAAGTGTTTGTGAATTTGTTCTAATGCAGGGGCGACTAGAGAAGAAGAAAGCAGAGTATGTAGAGAGGATGAAGAATAAGGTTGCAACGATTCACAAGGAAGCAGAAGAGAGAAGAGCAATGATTGAAGCTAAGCGTTGAGAAGACATTCTTAAAGCAAGAAGAAACGCCTGCTAAATGCTGGGCCACTGGAACTGTTTTCAAATGCAGCTTGTGGATGTTTCTAATCTTGAATTTGCAAATCAAATTGTCAAGATTTTGTAACTACAAAGTGTGAACGAATTTCTCTGTTCTCTTCAATGGCTTGTAATGTTGTTTGGATATTGATTTTGTCTGTGAAAACATGAGACTGAAAACCAGAAGACCAAAAAGAACCAAAGTTTGAATCTATTTCTTAGATAGGCTTTCATAAGATTAAAATTTAGAAACCATGGAAACAAGTAAACAACACCAACAAGAGAGTGTGAGTAGCTGTCAATGTTCTCTTCCGAGAAGCTCATATCATCATCGCTTAGGAGAGAACTCATACATATTCCCTCTAACAAATACCTTGTGAACAGTTGGTAAATTTTTATAAAACTCCATGACAACTTCAAGGTTATACAATTCCACATAAGTCACAGTGCTCAAAAGTTGCTTGTCCTTGAGAGAATCTGTTCAACCCTAATAATGACATTTGGGTTGGAAATAAAAGATTAATCCATTTTTGTAATTAATTCCATTATTGAAAAAAAAAATATATATATAAAAATATCAATGGGAGGATAAAGTACTATTAAAATGAGTGGACTGGTGGATAGAGAGTGATGACATGTCATGATATGGTTGGAGGAGTGAAGAACCAATGGATCCCACGAGGAATAATATAATGAATAAAATCCCGCTAAACCCGCGTTAATTACGCTTGTGTCCCTACGCGCGTCTCAAAGATCTCTCTCTGTGTTGTTTCTTTTGTCTGGAGAAAAAAAAACAAAAGAAGAGCGTTCGTCGAGAGATATACATACTCGGATCAGTCGTCAAAACTCAAAAGCTTTGGAATTTGATACTAAATCTTGAAAAATCAGTCATGGGTTCTGGAAAAGAGCGTGACACTTTCGTCTACCTCGCTAAGCTCTCTGAGCAAGCTGAGCGCTATGAAGGTAAGGAATCTTCTTCTTCTTCTTCTTCTCTCGAATGGGTTCTCTGAATTTCTCACAATCAGGTCTTTTTTTATAGCTTCTTTAGTTCGTTTCTCTGTTTGATTTTACTGGATTTTGATTTCATCGAAGGGTTTGGTTTGATCTTTGTAAGTCAATGATTTGATTGAGATTTTTTGAATTGGGAACTTCTGAGCAAGGAATTAGATTCAAGGGTCTCGATTTTTACAAGATGGGTATTGGAAATGTGATTTCTTTTTCACAGAAATGGTGGAATCAATGAAAAATGTTGCGAAATTGAATGTTGATCTGACGGTGGAAGAGAGGAACTTGCTCTCTGTGGGATACAAGAACGTGATTGGTTCACGGAGAGCTTCGTGGAGGATCTTCTCGTCGATCGAACAGAAAGAAGCAGTGAAAGGGAATGATGTTAATGTAAAGAGGATCAAAGAGTATATGGAGAAGGTTGAGTTAGAGCTTTCAAACATATGCATTGATATAATGTCTGTGTTAGATGAGCATCTAATTCCATCGGCTTCCGAGGGTGAATCAACTGTCTTCTTCAACAAGATGTAAGTTTATAATGCTTCTATACATGATGTTAAACTCAAGATTTTAAGTTATGTATGTGGCTGAAGATTTTTTTGGTTTTTTGCAGGAAAGGTGACTATTACCGCTATCTTGCGGAGTTCAAATCAGGGAATGAGAGGAAAGAGGCTGCTGATCAGTCTTTGAAAGCCTATGAGGTGTTCTACTAGTGATATATAGTGTTATTGATCACTGGATATTCTCGGTTGGTTTTTCGTTACTTTACTTTTGAGCTTTTTGTTTGTTTGTTGGTTTCCTTTACAGATTGCTACTACTGCTGCTGAGGCTAAACTCCCTCCTACACATCCTATCAGATTGGGTTTGGCTTTGAATTACTCTGTCTTCTACTATGAGATCATGAACGCACCTGAAAGGTTTAGAGATTGTTAGCTATACTAAGAAAAGAAAAGATTCATTGTTTTGGAGAGTTGAGATTTTTCTTTTTCTTTTCTTTTCTCTTCAGGGCATGTCACCTTGCTAAGCAGGCGTTCGATGAAGCTATCTCAGAACTTGACACTCTGAATGAGGAATCCTACAAAGACAGCACCTTAATTATGCAACTCCTCAGGGACAATCTGACCTTGTGGACTTCTGACATCCCAGAAGGAGGAGGTGATGATCACTCTGGACCTAAGCAAACTCTTAAACTATGATGTTTGATGTCTTACAAAAGTCCTTTTTGGTGTTCATTATTACTTCATTTGTGTTGTTTCGCTTGGAAACCATTGAATATATAAGACATTTTAAGCATATCCATGGAATACTTGATAATGGATAGTTGAAAGTTGAAACAGCATCCAGTAGACGATTCCCTATCTCATAATGATACATATTTTGCTGTGGATTTCAAATGTTTATTTTGCCTTTATATGCAGCAGACGATGCCCATAAGACGAATGGTTCTTCCAAAGCTGCTGCAGGTGGAGATGATGCTGAGGTAAAGTAGAACACATTCCTTTTCTAGGAGTGAATCGAATAAGTCAACTCTGATAACAAGATCTCTTTGCTCTTGGTGCAGTGATCTGATATGTGTGCACCCGCAGCAGCAGCACTGGTCAATATGTTTCAAGAACAACTGAATGCGCGGTGAATAATAGCGAAACGTAGAGTTCCTCTGTTTCCTGTATTATTATTGTCTATGTTATTTGTACGCTGGTTTAGTCCTAATTCTCTCTGGTTTGAATGTATTGCATCATTTGATGCCTGTCTCAGGACACTGCCTTATTTGTAATCTATAATTCAGTACTGTCTTCTTACTAATGTCCTTATGGATCCAATTTTATATCCCTTCATTTCTAAGTTGCTGAGACAGGAGCTGTTTCGTTTTCGTATGCTCTACCTCTTTCTTTCTCCTCTTCCGATCTCTGATTCATGTTATGTTGCTGATTGAATCATGTTATGTTGCTGATTGAATCAGCCACACCAAGTACAATAAACTCTGTTCAGTTTCTTTCACAGCTTGTTCGTCTGTATTGGTGAATAATCTAAGCATACACAAGCCAAGCGTAAATAGATAATGAAGCTTGTATTTCTTGAATCCTTGCGAACATTTACTCATATGTAATATAGCCAAAGCAAGCAGAGTCAAACTTCAAAAAAAAAGAATTAGAATCGAAAAAAAGAAGAAAGAATGAATAGTTTGTTGAATTTTACAGAATAGCTCTTTCCCATCTTTAACAAAGATTACTATCTGAGTCTTTGAATAGGCTCTTCGGATCGAATCATAGGGAAGCAGAGAACGATGATAGGGCTTTCTCAGTTATAAGAGGAAATGCTTTATAGAGTCCTCTAGAAACTGATGGCTCGGACAAACCATCTCCTTCACTTTATCTCCATTCTTGTATATCTTGAATGTCGGAACTTTCCTGATACTCTCTGCTTTCGCCAACGCCATGCTCTCCTCCACATCCACCTAATAACATTTCATTTTCTCAGTTAGAACATTGAGAGACATAGGTTTGTTTATGTATACGTTTAGAAGATGTGATATAAGAAGCATATTTGGAAGGTGCTTCTTACCTTAAAGAAATGTACTAATGGATACCGGAGACATAAAGTGTTGATGAAAGGAGAAATTTCTTCGCATTGTCGGTTTGATGATGATTTGAAATGAAATACAGAGACACCTGAAGATAAATGTTTCCACTTGAGCAAGACACTTAAAATCTCAACCTTTCAAACAAATTGAAGTTTCTCCTTAAACTTACCGGGGAGTGATACCGAGTTCTTGAACTTATCCAAAGTCGAAACCACTTCAACTTCATTATTGAAACCTAGGCTTTTAGATTCTTGGCTTCTGTTCATTAGCACGGTTTTCGCTCTCTCTAGAGACTCTGCAACTTCGCTGTCTCCTGGAAGTTCCCTTCTCAAGAACTCATAATCTTTGACCGCATCCTCCCACCGACCAAGCTATGTAGTTCAACAAACATTGTCATTCAAATACAATTCGGTCAATAACTGATTATACAGAGTTCTAAACTCACCTTTCCATATGAAGCAGCCCTTCGTAGAAGTGCCTTGATGTAACTAGGCTGCATTTTGAGCGCATGGTTACAATCTTCAACAGATTTCTCCCACAAACCGAGCTTATACCAACACGCTGCTCTGTTGCAGTACAAAACCGAATTGGATTCATCGTGCTTGAGACCGTCTCCATAAGCAACACTCGCTTCCAAGAATCTCCCCGAACTAAACAACTCATTACCACGAGTACGTGCCCGCACAACCATCTTCACATTGTTTAAAACTGATGCTACCTCAGGATTGGTCTGATCGAGCATCGCAGCTCTCTCTGCCTTTACAACCGCATTCTCAAATCTGCAACAAACCTATCATTTCTACTCACTCAACGGCCGAGAAAAAAAAATCCAAAGAATCACAACATTTCTGAGTTTCGAAAGCTCACCTTCCTAATGCCATATCAACTTGAGATTGGATACAGAGCACATAAGCTTCAACTACCATACCAAAGAGTTTCGCCTGCGGCTGAGAATGGTAATGATGATCCAATCTTGGAATGCAAGATAGACAAAAATCTGAATCCTCTATTTGGTTAAGACGCAAAAAGGCTTCTGCTTTACAAGCTACAAGCTGTCCAATCGAAAAAACCTCACTGTTAGTTCAAAACCTTTACAAGAAAATGCAACACGCCGTCCTATCTTACGGCAATGATCTGTAATCACCTGAGGAGACGAATCAGCGCCGTTTGCAATGGCTGCATCGGTTTCCTTAATAGCCGTTTTCCAATCTCCAATCTTCCGAGCCTCCCAGCATCGCCGGAGATGCTTATCCAGTGTCTGCAGCCGTTGGAGATCAGCTTGATCCGGACATTGCCCGGAAAAACAAATATGACGTCTTGCATTCTCAGCTTCTCCCAATCTAACAGCAACAATACAATCCATTATTTCAATTCTCAATCTTTAAACTAAATCACAAAGCAAAAATAACAACCCCTCAAGATTACCTGAGATATAGAGAAGCAAGTCTTTGGTGAGCTCTGGAGTAAGAAGGATCAAGCCTAACAGCTTCAAGACATTCTCTAACGGCTTCTCCTAACCGTCTTAACGCCGTTAACGCCGCCGCACGGTTGCTTCTGTAAGCTGCATTTTCCGGTGATATTGAAATTGCTCTGTCGTAAAGCGACAGAGCTTCAGAGAAATTCCCTCTCCTATACATATCATTCCCCATTCTCTTCAACTCCTCCGGATTTTCGCCGTTCTCCGCCGCTCTCACCGTCTTTCCGCTGCTTCCTCCTGCGCCACTGCGTACAACGTTTCCATGTCCGTAATTTCCAGTTCCTGTGCACAGAGTCTCAGTCCTACTTGAGGTCCGAGACGCCATTCCGGTTTTCAAGATCCGACCCGAGGGACAAATGTTTCCCGCCGGTAAAACGCCGGGACTCGGCGACACTGCAGACGTCGCACCGCTACCACCTCCTTGCGGCGAGGTGTGACTCATTGCTGAGGTAAAGCTAGAGCCAGAGAAGATCAACGGCGTTCCAGTAGAGGAAGATCTTCTATGACCCGGTTTAAGATTCCGGGTCGTCGGCATTCCGGATCCGGGGCTAGAAAGCTCACCGGAGTGACTCCTGTAACCATTCTCTAACCGCTTACCCATCTGAGAACTCACCGACGGTTTACCAGAAGCAGAGCCTGAAGAACCAGAGCTGCTCGTAGGAGTCGCAGCGGCGGAAGAAGAAGCAGAGCCACGTGGCATTAAGGTAGAAACAGGAGAACCCAGATCGAGTTCTCGAAAATCAGGTTTGTTGACGTCATCGTTTCTCTGTAAATCACGAAATCGACCTGTGATTGAATCTATAGCAGGTTCCAACGAAAGTCTTCTAGAATGAGACATCACTTCCTCGTAAGCTGAATCTAACGAGACTCAGCTTCTTCTTCGTTTTCGTCTTTCTTCTTCTCAAAGAAGTCAGACACCACCACCACCGCCGGGCAGAAACAAGTACTGTCTCCAGGAGAAGAGAGAGAAAGAAGAGAAAAGGAAGACAGATCTCGTGATAAATAGAAAAGGAAGACGCAAAGAATGACGAGTGAAAAATAAAAGGTTTTAAAAAGAAAAAAAAAAAACTGGATTAACCTTGATTAATAAAGATTACAGAGATTATGAATGACATTGATCTTCTTCTTCTTCTGTTTATCTCACGAGTCTCTCTCTCTCTCTCTTCAGTCCCGTGTCTTCACGGCTACTTGTCGTTGAAGAAAATAATACGGTGATTTATCGAATTTAATTTTATAAATAAACTCTATAGTCTAAAATAGTTGACTTTTAATTTTGAGCACAGTATTCGAAAATAAAATTAATTATACTTTTTTCTTATATTATTGAATTTTGTTTCTTTAAATTTTCTAAATAAATTATAACATTTAACCCCTTACTAACTAACTAACTATAAGGAACTCTCCAGCTGAAACAGAGGTTTTGCTCTCAAGTGAAGCTGGACCTGCAACACAAACACTGAAGCCCATCAAAGAAACTCAGTCAAAGCCCATTAATACTCAGTCGTTATCCTGCAGCAACACAAAGCAAGATTCCTCAATATCTATGGTTAGAAGCTTTCTTCACTGCTTCCTTTTTGGGCAACCTGCTACCATCTTCTGCATTAGCTGACAACAAAAGTCCTTATGAGCTTCTAATGGGTAAACCTCCTATCTATACTGCTTTAAGAGTGTTTGGATCTGCATGCTATCCATATCTCAGGCCTTATGCTAAGCACAAATTTGATCCTAGATCATTACTTTGTGTCTTCTTAGGCTATAATGAAAAATATAAAGGTTATAGGTGCCTTTATCCACCTACTGGTAAAGTTTATATTTGCAGGCATGTTCTTTTTGATGAGCATCACTTCCCTTTTCAGAAAGAGTATGCTTCTTACATTACTCCGGCTACCTCTCCATTACTTTCTGCCTGGCAACAGAGTAATTCAGCAAATCAACAAGTCTCATCAACAGAAACTCAGTCTCCGGAACCGATTACTAGTGAGCCACAGGAATTTTCAGAGCGTACGACAGCCTTTGATGCTGCTTCTATTGGCGACAGCATTCCTGTACTCACTAGTAGTCCTATTCAAGACACATCAACAGTTAACAGTCCTCAGAAGACGCCGATGGTAGCTGAAACAGAGGTTTTGCTCATGGATTCACCAACAGAGTCCATATTTTCTGAAGAAGATTTTCCACCTCTCACAAGTCCTCAAGCACCTGTCAACAATCATTCTATGACAACAAGAGCTAAAGATGGGATAAGGAAGCCTAATCCTAAATATGCTCTGCATACTGTGAAGACTAACTATCCAGAACCAAAGACGGTGAAATCAGCACTTAAAGATTATGGTTGGAACAGTGCTATGAAAGAAGAGGTGGATACAATGCATGAGACTCAGACATGGGATTTAGTTCCTCCAGAAGAAGAAATTCAACCTCTAGGCTGCAAATGGGTTTTTAAAACCAAGTTATGTGCTGATGGATCATTGGACAAACTCAAAGCTCGACTAGTAGCAAAAGGTTACGAGCAAGAAGAAGGAGTTGATTTCATTGAAACATACAGCCCTGTAGTTCGAACAGCCACTATCAGAACAATTCTTCACAGAGCCACAATCAACAAATGGGAGGTTAAGCAACTAGACGTCAAAAATGCCTTTTTACATGGAGATTTAAAAGAAACTGTCTTCATGGTACAACCACCAGGGTTTGAAGACCCTAGCAAACCAGACTACATATGTAAGCTCAAGAAAGCCATCTATGGGCTGAAACAAGCCCCAAGGGCGTGGTTTGACAAGTTTAGTT